GACCCGGCCTATGCCCACCCCTAATGTTGTTCTTCCTGGAGGTATAGTGGAAATTTCTCCAACTTCAAGTTCAGGTATTTCTACAAGTTTATGAACTTCAAGTTGAACTGCACAGATAAAATAGTAGAATTAATGCATTTCTGGTTCGGGATACAATATACAGTTGGAAAAAAATATATACAATAAAAAATAGCAAATCATCTTACTTTTGCATCAAGAAAATGAGATAACTCATTCGCCGTTATTCTTGTTAGATAATCGAACATAAGATCTCGTTACTTGAAAAAAAAAACATACCAAGTGACCGTATAAGTAGAGCTGACCTGAACAAAAATGCATAATGATTTGATTTATCTTTGTAGTTTCAAAATAAAAAAATGAAAATGTGACATTTATTTCAACCCCCCCCTCGTGTTTTGTTTCTTTATTAAAATAATAATAATAAATCAGGTTTTATCTGTCTTTATGTCTTGAGACCAATTTTGACCAAATTTGACCAAATTTGACCAAAGGCGGGGAAAGGATCTGTACGGAAACAACACTGGTTTCTGATTGGCAGGATGTTGGTTGGGTAAAATCTCATCGGTTGGATTTCCCCATGTATAAAACCAAGGGTCCGGATGCATCTTGCAATTAAGTAATGGCATGTGAAGTGTGTAGAGGAAGTAATCTGCATGACATTTGGGTACAAAGGTTGAATCTTTAGTGAAAGAAGAACTGAGGGCAACGCCGCAGCGTCTTAGCATTCCCAAATGGACGTCCGTTTCCCGACGACAACTCCGACAGAGTCACTCCTCACCGTCGCCGGCTCAGTTTCCAAACGGCTCGGTAACTTGTCGGGTTGGTCAACTCGATCGTGACCTCATAATTTCCATATTCTTTCTATTTGCTACTTTTAATCCTTTTTTTAATCCTTTTTTTTTGTTAACTTGGTGGTATACAACACTAGCTGATTTTCTACAGTGTTGGAGGGTTAGGCATGTGAAGCAGCATCTAAAAGTCGGTTCCTCCCTGTTTGGAGAGATCAAACCGAAACTAAAAAAGGATTCGGAACCACAAATGCATTAATCGTTTTGAACGATGCGCTAGTCGGGGGCGCTGACTCGAGATGTAAGATGATTTGCCATTTTTTACTGTATATATTTTTTTGTGATGAGATCCAGATGTCGGTATGATGCTTTTGGTTTTTGTTTTTTGGGTTTCTTTGTGATGAGGGAGATTATTTGTAATTTTCATATGTGATTATTTGCTTTTAAATATTAATGTTGTGTTTTTGGTTTTTGCAGTATCTGAGTATTTGGCCATGGTTGCCTCTGTACAGCTCTCAACAAAATGTGCTAGATTTACCCTTTTAACTAATCTTCATAACCATATGTACATGTTTTGAGTTTGAGGAAACATACTGGGCAAAAATTGTTGTTTTTCCTTTCTGCATATGGGAGAATTACCCTTTAATTAGTTTCATATCCCTAATTTTGTTTGTTTTGATGAAGAAACGAACTTGCTATACCTAATTAGTTTCATACCTTATTTTATTTTTGTTTTAATTAGTTTCACAATTAAGTATCGTGCGTGCAAGTTTTTTTAATTTGAAATTAAGAAAGCTATGTTGCTCCCTTAGTTTGGCAAAGTTTGTGATTAGTTTGAATGAGATTGAGAATACAGAGTAATTAAAATGACATCTTGTATATGTTATTAATTTGTGAACTTTTCCGCAAACAAAATAGATGATGCAGGTGAGAAGAAAGAAGAAGAGGCTGTGGATGACTCTATGACTCAACTACAATTTGAGACTATGGCCATAGTTTTCTTGACTGCCTGATGCCAAGTATGATAGCTGAGTTGAACACTGATTCCAGGCTAGAGTGACTTACCACCTGCCCGTATCGCACAAGTCATCCAACTCATCCATTGTTTAGTAATGACTGCATATGAGCCTGCTGAAGCTGAGGATTTCCTGGAGTCTTGCTTAATTATCTCTTTATTATTTTAGATGTATGTTGTGAATGCTTCAGTAGTTACATATAATGCATACATGGTATAAGGATTGTGATTTAGTTGATTGATCCTTGTGGTCTTGTCTAGTGTATTAATCTTTAAGTCTATGTTTTCTTTTACATAATAAAGAGGAAAAGGTATGTAGATGTTAGGGGCAGAGCGTTTGTTAGGGGCCGGGTGGAGATGTTTGAGCAATAGAGACCTTAACTTATTGAGTCTATACATTTTCTCCGCCCTTGTTGAATAAATGGTTAACTCTCTCTTACATTTTCTCCGGATGGTATGCTGATTGCTGCTCATCCCAATCCCAATCCCATACTCTAATCACAGGCTGGAGTGAATCCTTGAGAGATAACAACCAACCCAAACACTATTGACTCGTCAATGAGGCTCGAATATTGATAGCAGATGGCAATTACAGCATATTTTTCAATCAAGTTAAAAGTGTTACCAAGGATTCTAAGATTGTATGACATACAAATTTGGTATCAGCGGAGTTGTGTTTATCACTTTTGGTTCCACCACTTCCCCAATGGCCCAGATTCCACCACCTTTCACGTTATACAAGCAGTGCACCAATTCCTTTTTCACCTTTCCGGAAGAAGATAACTGCGAGATCACGGATGAATTTGCATGTGCAAAACCAAGTATCCCATCAACTGCCGCGGGACCAAGATTCCCAGATTGTTTAGCTCCACACCTGTTCCACAAGAGATGCAACTTAATACACACAAAAAGAGCATATAGCAACAACGAAGTATGCAAACTCAAAGTAAACCAACTCAAAATGTAATCTAGTTTTGTATCTCATATTATGCTAGTTTTAGTATGACAATTGCACAAAACTCACCCGAATACTACAGTCCTTCTTGGAAGGCTGCTCTAGATATCGAGTTGTTGCATCCGACTATCTTTACCTTCTTTGCTTTGAACCTCTTCACATAGTCGTGAAGCGACTTCTTTGGGTTCTTCTTGAAGTTGAACAAATGGTCGGACTTCTTCTTGATCGAGTATAGGATGAATATTCTTTGGTGAAAACCAAAGAAAGTTTATGGAAACTCTGGATGGATTGTGGCAGCAGGGTGTGGAACCAATCTTGCGCCTCGCCTTGTAAAGTGGTGGCGGATATTTCGCACATGAGAGTGTTGTTGTTCCGATAGCGGATCATTGCGCTTCGGTAGTGCTTTAGGTGCCCCTCCGGGTTTCCATCTTATTTGAAGGATGTGAAATGTGGCATGTTAAATTTGTGTGGAGGCTTTGCTTGCTCGGTCTGGTCCATGAAGGGTGACCTACTTGTGTTGGTCATGTCTCATCACAGTGCCTCATCAATGACTTCGTTGCGTTGGAAATCTTGCAATCACTTGGTCAGGAGCCTCTCTACTTCTTCCTGAATTTGTCTTTGTTGGGGGTAGTGGAGCTCTCAGCTGCCTCCAGTCATGACCTACTGGTCTAGGCTGCCTTTCTATGTGTCCGACTGGTTTATGCCGCAGCTGTTGTGCATGTCACATCCCGCATCGTCCAGGGGAGTGAATCCTGTAAGCCTTATATGTATATTCTCATCTCTACCTAGCACGAGACATTTTGGAAGCTCACTGGCATTGGGTTTCGTAGGAACTCCGAAGTTAAGCGAGTTCGCGCAAGAGCAATCCCAAGATGGGTGACCCACTAGGAAGTTCTCGTGTGAGTTCCCAGAAACAAAACCGTGAGGGCGTGGTCGGGGCCCAAAGCGGACAATATCGTGCTACGACAGAGTCGAGCTTGGGATATGGTGGGGGCCCAGGCGGGGATGTGATAGTGCATGTGGTATGTTCATAGCAGGCGAGTGAATTTCATGTAGGTTGACATTTGAACTTGAGTCGGATTGAGTGACTGCTTATCTCCATGCGTCGTACTACCTATTCCGATGTGAGGTGAATGATGCTTTTTGTGGGCCCAACCATGAATGAACACTTCGCCTGGAAGGTTGCTCATGTTGATTATCCAAGTGTGGCCCCAACAGTGAATGTATGCTTGTCTGTGGGCCTAACTGAGAGTGCACGCTCCTCTGCGTTCTAAGACGAGAGTATACGCTATTTCAGGGGCCAAGTTAGGAGTGTAAACTTCCAGAACGCTCGATTCGTGACTAGTTGAGTGGCTACTTGCTGGGACACTGCTAAAGAGGTTCTTTGTTTTCCTTTGTCCTTCTTCGGGACACCTCGTCTAGGGTACATTGCATCTCAGTGCGCTGTAAGAGCTGACTCACCAAGGTCGTCTGTTGTGCGATGGTGCTTGTTTGCCATTTGGGTTGGAAGAGCTTGGACGGTATGCGTCTCTTTTTAAGTAATGGAATTGTAATGGACTCTGGGCGCGAGATTTGAGTTGGGATATCTCAAATCTGCAGAGAAATAGGGTGAAAATACCCCCGGTTCAATTGTCGGCCCAGAAATATGAAGCCGGGATAGTTAAACCAGTTTTGGACCAGTTTGGGCTGCTTAGAAAGCCACGGGAGTCGGTTGGGCTATGAGAATGGGTTGGGCCACGGGAGTGGGCTGCTCCACATGTAGCGCACGTGGGTGCTAAACCTGGGCTCGGCTCGGGAGCGCACTGGGCTCGTGTTGGGTCACAGCTAGGGCCTGCTTGCCTTGGGCTTAGGCCCGTGTAAGCTGGAATGACGTGCCTTGGGCCTGCTAGTCTTGGGTTTAACTTTGGAGCGTACTAGGCGAGCTGGCCTTGGGCCTGCTGCTGCGAGGTGGCTTGCTCACAAAGGATAGTGGACTCGCCGAGGGTCGTTGCCGTGGTTGCTACCACGGTGGCTGCCACGGTGGTGCCCTGTGGGGGTGGTGCCACTCCACTCATTGTCGTGTTAAGCCTTGTGGATCGTCATGGTTCAAATCCTTAAACGTAGGAAATTATGTTCGCTGTGGTTTCCGAATTTCTAGCCATTGTACTTTTCTTTTATGTTTTATCAAAGAATTTTTATAAAAAATTATAAGAATAAGAACGTACGAAAAATCAACAAATGAACAAGAAATGAGAAACTTTGAATGCGAGAGTCTTCTTCAAGCATGTGAATCAAAACTCTCAATGAAAACACCAATTTGTGGATGCAAATTTCCGCCTTCTTCTTCTTGAACGAAAATGCACCTGCAAAACAATTAACACTTAAGATCAAGGCCAAGAGCCTCACGTGTCCACGATGAATGGGGAAGGTTTTGGCCGAAGAGTCTTCAATGCCAAAGTTAGAATTTTTGAGAGAAAGTGTTTAGAGAATTTTAGAAGAAGAAAGAACTTAGGTTTTTGGAGAAATGTGAGGCTATATATAAGGGTGTGGCTGGCCCTATTTGGAGAAATAGGGATTGGCCACTTATGGTGGAATTCTTGCTCTAATTGCAAGATATTATGTCGAATAATATCTTGCAATTAATTTGGTAATTAATCCCAATTTGAAAAGAATAATTAGAAGTTACCTTTGGGTGAGGATTTGACGAGGCATGATCAGAAGGTTTTGAATAAATACCATTTTGATCACCTTTGACATCGATTGAGCCATTATTGTCTATTGCATGCACGTGGGAATCCCGGTGTGCTTTAAGGGTAATTTTATCTTTTTACCCAAAAGTCCACGTATCGCCTTCATAATTTTCTTGATTATTTTTTACTCCACACACACATGGCAAATTGTGATTTATGCTTTGAAAAATGAATCACCCCAGGAGTCGGATAACATCCCCCCACCCCCCAAACAAAACAAACTGAATTATACAGAAACGTTGACCTCATACAGATTGTGATGTTTCTTTGCAATAGATTAACAAATTCAATTGGCTACGCGAAAATTAAACTCCTTCAAAAGCAATTCTAAAACCGAACCCAGCATCGCGTGCACTGTGCCATACAATCTCCCTTGCAATCAACATTGAAACCCAATACTCTTGGATTTCGAAGAAGGAGGTTTCGGAGAGATTTCCCTTTTATTCCCCACTCCTTTTCCAAGATCTGCACATTGATTTTCACCTCCTGTTCAAGATCACATCCAAGAACCTCTGGAAACTTTTTTAGCAACTTACACAGGTCATCGTCAGAAAGGTTTAAACTCCGAAGATAGTCCAGTGTTTCGCTTACAATCTCAAATTTTGGTACTTCCGTTTTCCGTTTTTCACCCCAGTAAGGTGAATGAACCAGGCCAAATGCTTTTCCAAGTATCTTCTCTCCCTCTTCATTGCTGATACTAAATGCAGATAGAGCTTCCCGGCATGTTTCCCATGCCTTCCTGTCTTCATCTTTCAAAGTTGTATTTTCAATCTCTGCAGTTGAGTGTAATACCCATTTCTTGGTAGACAAACCTGGTGAGCAAGCTCCTCTGTTTGGATTTTGTGAGAAATTGCGCAATCTGATATTCGGTGCTGTATTTACAACATCAGGCTGCAGCAAGAGTTATCATAATATTATGTCATACTGCAAACTTGAAAGGGAAAACGGAAAAAATTTCAACCGTTCACCCCTAAAATTGGAAGCAACGCTCCTTTGCAGACCATAAGTATAAAAATTGAACATCAAACAGAATAAATAATAATGGAAAAGGCAAAGCATAGAAAAAGTTACAATACGAAGATATATCCATCACCAAACAGGTAAAGAACAAATCTACAATCGATACTTGTTCAGCCATAATTTTTGTCTCATGTCTCTCAATACATATCATGCTTTTTGAGGTTGTGTCGTCATTATAATTGATTTTGTTTGCACTTATTCTTTTGAGTTCTTTTATTATTTTGTCTCTACTTTCTACACAGAATGCTCTTACTGGCCAGTTTAACATCAAGTCAACTTACATTCTAGTGAAAATTTTGGAAAAGCGAACATCATGGAATTTACATTATACCACTCAGCCGAAAAAACAGACACATACTTTTGAATGGACCAAAAGCACTAGGATGGCAATTAAGAGAGGAAGTGCTTAAATTCGCAACAAACTGAAGCCGACAACTGCCAAAAATCTAACTTCCTACCCCAAGAAATCTACTTCCTACACCTTTTCCCTAAAAAATTCAGTCTTTTCCGCCCTAGGAAAACTACAAAACACACTGAA